CGGATGAATGAGACAAGCAAACAGGACTCAGCTACCCGTAGTTTCTGCTGTGTGCCTTTCCACCCATCAAGGAGAGTCCGAGCAAGTGTTCAGAGCGCATGCACAATGGCACCTCCACCTCGTCTGCCAATTGGATCCTGTTCCAAGGTGGTGGTGGGGCTCCCATTTTCTGAGGAAAGGGAACTTTGGTAGGCAATGAGCTATCTCTCAGTTTACAAGCAGTCCTCACCCTGCCACCAGCAGGACCCTGTCAGCACAGAGAAAAGGAGACTCTACAAAAGGGAGCATGAACTTAAACACATGTTCTGGAAGACAGTGCCCTGAGTTCCTCCTCCAGCCTGAGTGCAGGCAGTAAAAAAATTAAATACCCGAAAAGATTATTTTCTTTCCATGGAAACTGAAACTCCAGTTTTAGGCTGAGCAACTTCCCCTTACCCTTTCCAAGTACCATAGTTGCTCCATCTTTCCATCTGTGTTCATGACAGATTTTTGTAACCCTACTCAAGTTGACCATGTGGTTGAATCCCAAAGCAGTCACTAGGTCACAATTTTTGCTTGTATCCTTTTTAAACAGTGTAAAGGGGATATACAGCATGTGACATCACTTGTGAAGATTCACCTTCCCTGTCTCACACACTTTCTTCATGCTCTGCCACACTTCGGGTGTATCCCTCTTCCCAGCTTCCCCCTCCAGTGTCTCCTTCTGCCACAACAATATGGCGCTTCTCCTTTAGCCTCTCTACCTTTCTTCCCAACTCTTCTTCATATATGGATGTATGTGTGTGTGTGTGTGTGTGTGTGTTGCTGGAAGCTCAGCAGCAGTTAAGAAAATGAGTGGGAAAAGCCACGACCCTCTTTAGTGGGTGGGATGAGGGAATGGCTAAGACACTGACTCAGGAGTACATTTTTTCCATCATATCTAATTTGTCTTTATCCATCTGCAACCTGACTTCTTTTAGGCTGTTATTAATTTATCCAACCTACAAATATTTCATGAACATTGATGAGATAAGAAATGAGGGCTGACACATGAGAATGGAAAAGAAGAGATATGCCTGATTCCCAGGCAAGAGTGCCAACCACGTGTCTAATGTGGGGCACTATTTGGAGTGGGCAGAGCCAGAGGAGGTGTCCAAAGAACCCTGAAGGGCTAGCTCACAGAAGCCAAGTCCATCATCAGCCAGATCCAGGGCCAGGTTTGAGGATGGGTATGGCCATGTAACCCTTCCAGGGGAAATTCTGGAGTAGGATGGGACACAACAAGGTATGAGCTTGAGAGGGTCCAGGACTTCTGTGTGATCAGAGTGGGGAAGTCTAAAACTCTTCCCACAGGGAATGAGCTCTAGGCTGTGTGAAGACCACAGAGGTGGCTGGGCCTAGAGGAAGTGATTCAGTGTTTATGTGTGCAGAGGTGATCTCTTGGTTTGTTTTAGAACTATGGGCCTGTTCTAATGCTCAAGGGCATACCAAACCAGCCTCCTCTGACCCAGGAACCAAACCCATAATTCCCAAGCACAAAATTCTAGGTCAGGCTCTGCCACTTTTGTTTGCAGCCCGGGCTTTCTTTATGGGTAAGGCTCAGAATGAGAGATGACCTGCACTGTCCAAGGAAAGGACTACAGCTGTTGGCTGAAGGAAGTAACCTTCCACAACTGCATAGCACTAAGTCTTTGTGTTAAAAAAGCAGAATGGGGGGTTGGCTTGGAAGTACGAATCTTTCCATGTTAAACTGAAATTGCTGCCCATATCTGCCAAACTTAAATAATTAAACAAGGCCACAGTTGGTTGGCAGGTGGAGGGAGAGGCAGGTGTTTATTGATGAGACCAACTGAAGTATTTTTATGATCAACTAGCAGTTATTACATTATTATTGCTCGGTAGTTTCTAGCATTCAACATTCAATATCTATCATTTTCTTGTTTCTGGTCACTGTCTTGGATTAAAACTAGGTTGTATTAACTAGTTTTGCTTTTAATTTACAATAGTAGCTTGAGATATACAAAAAGCAGATGTTGATTTTGAAGAGGAAAAATATACTTTTTTTGGTGTATACCCTTTCAGATATTTTGAATTTTGTATCATGTCGGTGCGTTACCTATCAAGGATAAGTTAATTGATTAATTTTAAAGCTGCATCTTGACTTCGTCAGCATTTAATTTCCTAAATGAAAAATGTACTGATCTACCTCTTCACCCCAATTCTACCAAGAATTTGTTTTTTCTAATTCCTTCTAAGAGAGACTACTTTTATTTTCTAGGATGAGCTGAAATTACTTGGAAAGCAGGGGGCCACATTGCTGTCATGCATCCAAGAACCAGTCACCAAATGTCCCAACAGCACACTCAATCTCAATCAACTTGAGAATGTAACTACCATGGAAAGGTGAGTGAGTGAGGTGGAATCTGCCTTTTCAGGAGAGAATATATAGACCTATATGTTCTGGAGCAACCAAGAACAGATTGGAACAGCCAATATTGGGTCTTGGTGGGGCCAAGGAAGAAGAAGAATATTTGAGACAACAAAGGAAGAAAGATCACATCCATCTGGCATCCACATACGGAAATCTTTTTATGAGCATTCCATTCCCCGCTCTTCAATGTCTATGACATGCTCCCACCCTAGGATTTTGAGGGAGAGGGTAGTATTTATTGGGCTTCATTTCCAAATAACAGTTTGACTTGGAGCTGTGCTTTATATTCGTGTGTCTCAGGTAGAAAGAAAGAAGGCATGAAGGTAAGATCAGCTGGAGCACATTCTAAAGCACAGCAGCTGCATCTGAAGTGAAGTTGCTGCCTGCACTGTGGGTGTCCTGATTGGAAAATGAAAGGTGCAAAGCCCGCTGAGCCAGAAAAAAGGCATAGGTGACACATGCTTTCATAATAAGGAGATGGTCGCAATTGATACCACTGACCGAAGACACAAGTGTTCTATCCATAGGCCTATATGGATGCCTGTGGAAATAAATGCTAACCTAACACCACTTTCTCATTCTTTCTTGAAAGGTTATTAATTCAACTGGATGAAACAGAAAAAGCCTTTAGTCAGTTTTGGTCCAGTCATCATTTGAAGCTTAACCAGTGCCTACAACTGCAGCATTTTGAGCACGATTTTTGTAAGGTATTCTCTTCTTGTTTAATATAACTTTCTTTTCTGCTACTGTGACCTCTGGTTTTCTCTCCCTCCTCACTCTTTGGTATGGGGTTTCCCTCTTTTCCCTAATCCAGCTTTCTGCTTATCTCCTTGCTTCTTTACAGACCACCCCCTCCAACCCCCTTCTCACTTTTTCAGTGGAGTAAAGGTGTTCTAGAATCCCATTTTCCTGTTGCGGTACATGGCATTTCAGCGATGGTTTATCTTGCTTTTTTTTTTTTTTTTTTTTTGAAACAGGGTCTTATTCTGTCACTCTGGCCAGAGTGCAGTGGTGCGACCATGGCTCACTGCAGCTTTGATCTTCTGGGCTCAAGCTGTCCTCCCACCTCAGCCTCCCAAGTAGCTGGAACTACAGGCAATGCCCCACCATCACACTAGATAATTTTTTCTTTTTTTTAACGGAGTCTCACTCTGTTACCCAGGCTGGTGTGCAGTGGCGCAATCTCAGCTCACTGTAACCTCTGCCTCCCTGGTTCAAGCGATTCTCCTGCCTTAGCCTCCCGAATAGCTGGGACTACAGGTGCCCGCCACCATACTCAGCTAATTTTTGTATTTTTAGGAGGGATGGGGTTTCACTGTGTTAGCCATGATGGTCTTGATCTCCTGACCTCTGTGATCTGCCCGCCTCGGCCTCCCGAAGTGCTGGGATCATAGGCGTGAGCCACCGCGCCCAGCCCAGATAATTTTTTAATATTTTTGCAGAGACGAGGTCTCCCTATGTTGCCCAGGCTGGCCTCAAACTTCTAAGCACAAACAATCCTCCTGCCTCAGCCTCCCAAAGTGCTGGGATTATAGGCATAAGCCACTGGACCCAGCTATCTTCCTTTTTGATTGATAATTGGTTGAATATAGTTCTAATAGTTCAACTACAGGTGAATTCTGCACCCCCAACTTAATTTGAAAGTTAGTGAGCTGCAAAAAAAAATTTTTTTTAACATATATAGATATATACAAGTCTTGAATCCTCTTTGGAATTTTGAGTTTTCTTGAAGCATAACAAACCTATACCTTCAGGTGAGTGAGTGTTGGTTTACTTCTGGACTGTTCTAATGTTTCTTGTAGGCTAAGCTTACCCTGGATAATTTGCTGGAAGAACAAGCAGAGTTTACAGGCATTGGAGACAGTGTGATGCATGTGGAGCAGCTTCTTAAGGAACACAAAAAACTGGAGGAAAAAAGCCAGGTTTGCTTTCTGACATTTTTGTGTACTGGGAAGGAGCTTGCTGTGGACGGTGATGGATCATGTCCAGTCATTGCTATTGGAAGATTGCTAAAGGACACAGGAATGCCTAGTCCTGCCATTCAGTCACCCCAGGATCCCAAGGAGAGTTGCACATTAACAACTGCTATGAATAATACAGGCAGCACAGAGTCCTATTAAAGCCGCCGAACATACAGTTGCGGTTGGACGCTCAGGTGGGGTGAAGACTCTGGACCAGCCCTGCCCTCTTACGTGGTCAGCAACCAAGTGGGAGGGGGTCACAGCAGGTTCATCACTCACCAGAACAATTATCTCAGAGTCTCACCAATCAGCTTGAGCTCCTCCCTGGAGCCTGGACTAGGGGACTGGGGGTTGTGGGGTTGGTAGTAGACGGGAAACTTTCAAAGGGGAAGCCAGGTAAAAAAACAACAACTAGTTTTATACCTGGAGCAAGACAGTTAGACGGGGGAAACTGGTCCACATTAGTTCCATTGCTACACAGAATTGACAAAGCTTTCTCTTTTCTCATGTCCCAGGAGTTGTAAATATGAAACTTGTATAAGAATATGTATTTTACAGTCCCATACTGGAATTAAACAGTGTCCCAGATCTGCACAGAAGTCAGCATTTAGAAGTGATTACATTTTAAGTGTTTACAAATTTGTTTTATTACAAATGAAGAAAGCGGAGTCGTCTCTTTCCATAGAAGTTCCTTTCTGCTTGTTTAAAATTAGGTTCTTTATATTTTTGGGTCTTGGGAACCAAGTGCCCTATGGTTAGCGCTTCCTTTCTTAGCTAATCTGGAGGCATGTTTCTCAGATGGCAATTTTGCAGTACTAGAGATGTGCCAAAGTGTGAGCCTCTGGCCAGCAGCACAGATGTCACCTGAGTAAGTGCTAATTAGAAATATAAAATCTCAGACCGCACCCTGGAATTGGAATCTGCATTTTAAGAAGATCCCCAGGTGATTGACTTGTACATTACAGTTGGAGACACACACCCCTAAAGGATACGAAACAAAGTATACTAAGGCCACACTGACTCTAAGAGCTGTCGGTTATAGATTCTGAGCTGCAGGTGCTTGTGCACATGCATGAACACACAAACCCACCTGTGTATCCAGATCCCCATTCAGGAATCCCGTCCCTCCCTAGCGAGTGCTCTTTCTCTTACCAGTGACCATTTGTCAGATAGACTAGTGCCGAAGACACACGAGTCATCAGGAACATTTCTCAAACAACGGAAAAGGTGAATTTCATATCTATGATACCTATATGTCTTAGATTCTTCAGGACAGCCCCAATCTTATAACATTTTAGTTTTTTCAAAAGAATTTTTTACTGAATATAGGTACTATATTTTTTGCTTATTCATATATTAAGAAAAAGTGCCTCATCAATAAAATGCCTTCATATATATATGAAAGTGGCTACTGACCTATCCGGAGGGTTATTTATTCATCAACAGGTATTCCTTATCCTGGGTTCCATGGATGCGGCGGTGAGCCAGACAGTCCAGATTCTGCCCTCATGGAGCTTACATTCTACTGGAGAGAGACGGTTCACTAAAAAGCAATCAAATTAATAATAACATCAGATAGTAACAAGTGATATAAAAAAGAAAACAAAATATAATAGAAAGTGACTGGGGATGCTACTTTAGCTAGCATGGTCTGGAAAGGCCTGAGAAAATGACCTTTGATCTGAGATCTGTTTGATCTGTGTAATCATGCAAAGACTTAGGGAGCTGCGGGTGCAAAGGTCTTAAAGTGGGAATGAGCTTGGTGAGTTCAAGGAACATTGCTAGAGCAGGTGGGCCAGGAGGAAATGAGGGGACAGAGATGAGCAGAGGCCAGGTGGTCCTGCTGCACCCTGAGATCTTTTGCGAGGATTTGAATTTTATTCTCAGTGGAACAGAAAGCCCTTGGAAGGCACTCTGGACTGTGTTTTGAATAGTAGTGATGGATCTGCATGACTGCATCACATTCTGTCTTCTGCCCACCTCCTTGAACTTGTGGTCCTTGGTATATACTTCAAAAGTTGCTGACCTGAGCTAGGGATGAAACCTATGGCTATGGAACACAGGAATGCTCTGTGAACCCATGACCCACCTTTCATGGGCAACATTCTGGAAGCAGCTAGACTAGCCCACTGTGGATGACCTGTGACTTGCAGGATTTGCAGACCTGTCACATCCTGTGACTTGCAGATCTTGTTTCTAAACTTGCTTCCTGAAGGATGCAGTACACCTGTGTCTCTGCCTTTGGGTCAATCAAACAAAGCTGTCTCACCATAACTGAGGTCGTTTTCAATATATCTTCCCTCAGACTTCTCAGAGGCATGGCTTCTTCAGATGATTAGGGCTTGGCTCATCTTTCCATTTGTCCTTTAAAGTGTTAAAGGAACAAGACTGTGCCTGGCCACAATCTGACAAATATCTGCTTGGGGTTTGTCCTTTCCTCGGCACCAAGGGGCTACCTCCCTCCCAGCACAGCCGCACACTGGCTCTGGGGTGTTGCCAGCTTCCTTATTCCACACAGTGACATCATCCTCACAAGTAACCTCAGAGTCAGCTCACTGACCAGGCTCCTGTCGCATGCTGATTCAGCCTGTTCTTTATCTTGTTCTAGTTTGAGGGTTTAGCAGTCTTTTGAATGCTCCTTCCTGATTCTGAAAAACAGTAGTTTCAACCATTTATAGAAGGTCTTCTATAAAAGCAGAATTTGCGGCCAGGTTTTGACTGTGGGAGCATACTGAGACCCTTGCTGAGAGACCAGCAGGGAACACACCAGGATAGGGTGGAGGAACCACCAGATTTCAGCCTTGACCTCTCCCTGTAAGGGTGCTGTGTCTAAGAAGGCATGGAACCCAGGCCATTAACATCTAAGGATGTCATCTAGTTGGAGGGTCATGGCTTTGTGTACATGTGTGAGATTTTCAAACACACACAGAAGTAGATAGACTGGCACAATGAACTCCAAGTGTCTGTCATTCAATTTCAACAACCATTAACTTTCTGCCTTTCTTGTTTCATCTGGCCCACCTCCCCATACACACACTCCATCCCTATGGATCATCTGTGGGTTTGTTCTAGATTCCCTGATAGAGTAACATCACTCGCTTTCTTGCTATTTTCTTCCCTAGTAGGCACTCTCATCTCTCATCTGTTATATCAGTAGAGTCCTCGGGGGGGAATAAACTGTTATTTCAATAAAGATTTCTGAATCGCAACTTCTAAGCTGCAACTTGACTATCCAGCCTTAAGGAATTTTCGGCATCTGAAAGATCCCAGATGGGCTTGTGGTCAGAGTACCGGATTTTAGCCATTTTTCTCTCACGCTTTCTTTTTTACTTTGGAGATTTTGATGACTATTTATCTTGAGCGGGAGGTATATAAACTAAAAATATAAGCTTCAATTTGGAGGTTTCACTGTAAATTTCTTTGCAGGCACCAGGAGGATTTCATAGCACATGTGGAGAGGCCAGGTAGTTGGAAGGTGACAAGAACATAGGCTTTGGAGTCAGATAGGGATGGATTAAAATCTTGGCTCTAACAAGTACCAGCTGTATGACCCTAGTCACGTTTCTTAGCCTTTCTGAATATGGTACCCCCTCATCTGTAAAACAGAGATAATAATTCCTACCTCACAGAGACCCTGTGAAGATTAAATGAGTTAGATGCGTGGTAGGGACTTCATGTGGTCGGCCTGCAATGTGGTCAGTGGTCAGTGGTCAATATTCAGTGGTCAGAAACTATTGTTGTCCTTTCAATTCTGTAATAGTGACCTTCCAACCATATGGTGGCTGAATCTGGGTTGCTCTTTAGTTTCCCTTTTTGTTTTGAGACGGAATTTCACTCTTGCTGTCCAGGCTGGAGTGCAGTGGCACAATCTCGGCTCACTGCAACCTCCACCTCCCAGGTTCAAGCGATTCTTCTGCCTCAGCCTCCTGAGTAGCTGGGATTACAGGTGCCCGCCACCACGCCTGGCTAATTTTTGTATTTTTAGTAGAGATGGGGTTTCACCATGTTGGTAAGGCTGGTCTCTAACTCCTGACCTTGTGATCCGCCGGCCTTGGCTTCTCAAAGTGCTGGGATTACAGGCGTGACCCACCGCGCCCGGCCTCCTCAGTTGCCTTTATGGGTGTTTTTCCCTAGACACATTTGGACCTGTTACTCACATCTTTCCTCTAACATCTCAAATGTCTTCTGGACAGTTCTGAAGGGTGAAATACTATATGCCAAGGGAAGGGCAGGCTCTGATCACCACAGGGCGATTTGGAAGTATCTTGTGGTGAATTTCCCTGGACCCAGAAAATTCTGCCCTGTTCTTAATAAATTAGGCAGCTGGACTTAAAAAAAATGTCAACAGAGACTTTCTTGCCCAGTCTCATGTTTCTATATTTGACTAAAGTCAGACAAGTTTGAGCAACCAAATGAGGTCTCTAAGCTTAGGCAGAATAAGTGCAGTCATTTTTCTCTGTGTATGTTGCTCTGAGCCAGATCCTGGAGCCAGACTGCCTGGGGTTGAAGCCTGGCTCTTCTCTTTCCTACCTGGGTCACCTTGGGCTATTGTGCCTCCACTTCCCTTTGGTAAAACAGTACCTGTATCAAAGGTTTTGTTGTGAAGAGTTAAAGAAATAAGCAAATGTAAAGCATTCAGAACGGTGCCTGGCACGTAGTAAGCTCTCAGTAGATGTCAGCTGTTGTTATTAATATTACAGAGGTAGAGGGATAAATTCTGTGCTATGGAATATGTCCTAGGTTCAGTCTGCAGTAGCTGAGCAGTGCTAGTAAAGGTCTGTCATTCATTTGACATTTATTCTGCAAATATTTATTCATCTCCTACCATGCCAGGTACTGTTTAAGTTCTGAGGACACAGCAGTGAACCAGAGAGTCAAAAATCACTGCCCAGGGAATGAGTATTGCAGTCGTCTTGTAACCAGTGTACCTGGGCCTTTGCTGTTTAGAACAAGTGCTCTGGGTATTTTCGCCTCAGTCCTTTTAACTAGCCACTGCTTGATTTGTGTCACTCGTTTCTATACCAGTACTCCTCTTTGTTTTGTGCAGCATTTGTTTGTAAGTATCTCAGATGCACCATGCCCTGTTTTCAGTTGAATAAGAGCTGGTTCTGGACCATAGGGGTCTGTGGCATAGTGCAGACAGCAGATAAGTGGTCACAACATAATGAAGCAGGTGCTCTGATCAAGAGAAGCACAGAGAAAGTTTTCTGGAGAAGGTGAAGTCTGAAATGTAATTCAGATTGAGCTGGCCCCAGAGGAGTACGGGTGTGGTAGAGGATAGGTGAGGGGGAGTAGGGAAGGATGGGCTTTCTAGGCAGACAGCAGGTAGAGAAGGGATGGAGTCCTAAAGCTGCCTGAATATTTGGGGAACAACAAATGGATAATTAGTATGGTTGCAGCAGAGAATGGAGTTGAGGAAGTGGAGGAGGACTTGGTAAGAGGCACACCCAGGTATAAGCCAGATAACGAAAGGTCCCGTGTGCATTGCTCAAGAGTTTAAGCTTGCTCCTGAAGACCCTGGGGACCCAGAAAAGGGCTTGAAGCTTGGGAGTGATGTAGACACAATAAGATGTGTTGGAATCGCTGCTTTGTCAGCAGTCTGGAGCGTGATTTGAAGGAGAGCCTGAAGAAAAGCAGGGAGACCAGCTGTCCCTATGAGAAACCATGAGGCCTGAGCAGACAGTGGCAAGGAGGTGGCAGAGACGGGGTCAGAACTTGAAAAGCATTAAGAAGGCGATGGCCCCTGCAGGGCTTCTTGAATGACTGGGAGGGTAGGAGGAAAGGGGTTTGGAAATTGTTGAAACCATAAACCAGTGCAAGTTAAGAGAGGGGCAAGTTGTACATACCTGGAGTTACGGTGACTCCTCACGTTACTGTAAACAGCTAAAGCAGAGCAGAAAATGATGCACTGGATGCTTAGTGTGGCTGGCAAGGGGGCTCATGGGCTCTCTGCTCCTAGAGACCTTTCGGAATGTGGCAATCATCTGTGCTGATGCCAAAGTCAAGGTTGCTTCACAGAGTTCCAGCCAAGCAGATCACTGCATCATGTAGCTCACTGGCTCATTCATTTAATTTGTTGATCAAATATTTATTGCATGTCTACTAAATACTCTCATGGAACTGACATTTTGGTGGGAGTGAGTGGAGGAGGGAGGAATTCTTTTTTTCTTTTTCTTTTTTTTTTTTTTTTGAGACAGAGTCTCATTCTGTTGCCCAGGCTGGAGTGCAGTGGTGCAATCTCGGCTCACTGCAACCTCCGCCTCCCAGGTTCAAGCGATTTTCCTGCCTCAGCCTCCCGAGTAGCTAGGACTACAGGTGCACGCCACTATGCCTGGTTAATTTGTTGTCTTCTTAGTAGACGGTGTTTCACCATGTTGGCCAGGATGGTCTCGATATCCTGACCTCATGATCTGCCCACCTCAGCCTCCCAAAGTGCTGAGATTACAGGTGTGAGCCACCACGCCCAGCCAGGAGGCAAGAATTCTACATTAAAGTAAATAAAGAAAATAGTTTTTAGATAGAGGTGAGTGCTGTTAAAGAATTAAAGTGAGGGAGAGGGCCTAGATGAGTGGGTGAATGGATTGTAGAGAATGACTTCAGATATAGTCGCCGGGGAAGCCCTGTGAGGAGGTGACCCGGAAACTGAGTTCTGCATGACCCAGGGAAGAGCAATCCAGAGAAGGGCCAAGTCAGGAGCTAGGTTGGTGATCAGCTGTAAGCCGTATCTCTCAGCTGGATTCCTGCAGCAGCCCCTTAACAGGCCTCCCTGCATTTCCTCTTATTCTGGACACTGTACCTGGAGCCTTCCAAAAACATGTTCGAGATCCTCCCTCCAAACCCAGGGACTTTCCTCTCACAATTAGAAAAAGCCAAAGTGCTTACAAGGGCAGCAAGGCCCCCGCCATGGAACGCCCGCTTTCCTCTGGTTACGTCTTCCACTCATTTCCTGCTTGCTCCCTCTGCTGCAGCCACACTGGCCTCCTTCCTGCTACCCGAACTTGTCAAACACACCTTCACCTCCCAGCCAAGTACTGCGCGGCTTGTGCCTGACTTCAGGTCTCGGCTTGTGTGCAGAGCGCTCCCAAGACCATGCACACATTTCTTCGAAGATTCGCTAGGACTCTGCATGTAGCTGTATTAGAGTTACAATCTATAACGATGAAAAAGTACTAAGCAAAATTAGCAAAGCGGAAAGGCATGCGAGGTGAAGTCTGGAGGAAACTAGGCACAAGCTTCTTAGAATCCTCTCCTGTGGGAGTCTCACAGGACATACTTCTTGCCCCCATCTGTGGGTTGTGACAACATGTGTGAAATGTTGTCTACCAGGGAAGCTCATTAGAGACTCAACGCCCAGAGGTTTTATTGGTGGCTGGTCATGTCGGCAGCTTCTGTCTGGCAAGTACCAAGATTTCAGACTCCCAGAAGAAAAGCAGGTAATCACCATAAACCATACTGTTTGCACAAACGGTTCAGGCATCGTGAGCTATTCACATCAGGGAATGGAGGGAACCTTCCCAAAATCTAAGTTCCTAGGTGCCAACAAAGGGCCAATCTTACAATTGGGTCTTTCTTTCTAAGGCTGTAGTCTCAGGCTTTTTTCTTTTTTTTTTTTTTTTGGAGATGGAGCCTAGCTCTGTCGCCCAGGCTGGAGTGCAGTGGCGCAATCTTGGCTCACTGCAACCTCCGCCTCCCAGGTTCAAGCAATTCTCTGCCTCAGCTTCCAGAGTAGCTGGGACCGTAGGCACATGCTGCCATGCCTGGCTAATTTTTTGTATTTTAGTAGAGGTGGGGTTTCACTGTGTTGCCCAGGCTGGTCTCGAACTCCTGAGCTCAGGCAATCTGCTTCGGCCTCCCCAAGTGCTAGAATTACAGGCATGAGCCACCACACCCGGCCTAGTCTCAGCTTTTCTATGTGAAGTCTTTTCTGCATAGCTTGAGTACTGCTGCTCAGGGAGACCTTCTCACCATCCGATTTAAAATACTAGCTGCAGCACTCCTGCCCTCCCCATTATCTAATTTTTCTCCATATACTCGTCGCTGTCTAAGATACCATATAATCCACACATGCAATTATTTATTGCCCGTGTCTCCCATTAAAATGTAAGCTTCATTTCATGAGGTGGGGATTTTTACCTGCTTTCTTTACCAATGAACCCCCAGCACCTATGACAGTGTTTGGCATATAGTAGGTTCTCAATAATATGAGACGGATGAATGAAGGAATGCTTAAAAAAACAGGAAAACTTGGCACGTGTGGTTAGAGTGAAGTGTCATGCAGAAAGAGGTAGGAAATGTGATTGAGCAGACAGGGTCAGTGCATACAGGGCCCTTACAGGCTTTGGGAAAGGGTTTAGACAAGCATATTTCTTTTCTTTCTTTCTTTCTTTCTTTTTTTTTTTTTTGAGATGGAGTCTTGCTCTGTCACCCAGGCTGGAGTGCAGTGGCACAATCTCAGCTCACTGCAATCTCCGCCTCCTGGGTTCAAGCGATTCTCCTGCCTCAGCCTCCCGAGTAACTGGGATTACAGACACCTACCACCACGCCCATCTAATTTTTGTATTTAGTAGAGATAGGGTTTTGCCATGTTGGTCAGGCTCGTCTGGAACTCCTGACCTCAAGTGATCTGCCCACCTCAGCCTCCCAAAGTGCTGGCATTACAGGTGTGAGCCACTACGCCCAGCCTAGACAAGCATATTTCTTAAGTGTCATGACCACCTTTGAGTTGTCCAAACCCAATTTTCACCAGTGTCTCAACTTCAGCTCACCCCCCACTCTCCTCAAAGACAAGTGTCAGTTCCTCTTCTTGTTCCTTTAGTTAATAGGGGTATTCAAAATCTCTTATTATGTGCACTCCATGCTT